GCGCATACTATGGGGGCTATATTTGGGGTGGCGTGTTTTACAGTGCTTTGCCAACAGCGCCAACCCACTGAAGTCTAGATTGCGAAGGGGGGGCGGCTTGTTTTCCAACGTCGTTGCCAAGCGACGAAAACCCAACCCCGATGGCAAACACCGAGGGGATGGGGGGGGGACGGGTTGTTTTACAACGTCGTTGCCAAGCGACGAAAACCCAACCCCGATGGCAAACCAGGGGGGGGATGGGGGGGGTCACTGGTGGCGGTGGCCTTTAGCTCGTGGAGACTTGCAGTCCTGCAACGCTGGGCAAGAACCGCGCACAGGGAATTCGTCTGTCTCCTTCTTTCTCCGACTTCGTCGTGTGTTGCATACCGTAATTTTTGTCACTAGACGGATTCAGCCGCCCCCTTGTGCCCGGTCGAATGTCCGTGCAAGTCGCGTTTTGACGTAGTCGTCGGCAGGCCCACATGTAGCATGTGCTACAACACGATTTCCCAAGAAAATCAAGATGGTGCGACTACGGTCAGATTCGAAGTCGCGTGCCAATGTGAATCACAATACAAGGTTGCGAGGGTAGTTTATTTAGCCAATTGAAACACCCGAGGGCGACTGCAACAACAGTACAGTAGTACATGCGACGAGCCAGATGCGTTGTGTACCACAAGTGAAGCCGCTACAACATCGCAGCAGCTATCATACAGTACATCCTGAAAGAAACAACACAGTCACACACGTCCAGCCCTTCACTGCAACTGCGACGCAATCTTCTGAGCAAATCAGTATAGAATGAGAAGCGATGTGTTACCCAAATGGTCAACAACAAACAGCAGCAACAACAACAACAACAACAACAACAACAACAACAACAACAACAACAACAACAACAACAACAACAACAACAACAACAACAACAGCAGCAGCAGCAGCAGCAGCAACAGCAACAGCAACACAAACAGCAACATGGTTAGTTTGACACACACGCCGCAAACTCTTCTCGCCTGCCCTGAACGCACAGCCGAGCCTTGAGCGAGCCCGGGTCGTAGTACAAACCGGCGTGAATCACCTCGGAGTTCCTCGATGTCGTGCCTTGCCCGACGGCGCTCTCTCGTTCGCAGACCAGCACCTTACGTACAGTTCCCGAACGAGAATTGAACAACGCCAGGGCGCCTCGTATTGTAGACGGAGCCCGCACTTCGGAACTTGGTACATACTACAGTAGTTAAAGAAGCCAAAGAAGTGCATCCTCAACGTTCTGTCGGACACAAGAACCTTGAGAACCATCGGTGAGCCCGGTTTAAGAACCCCTACACGAAAATCTACTCACTTCTATAGTCTGTGGCGGCCATTTGTTGCCCACAACAGGAACGAGAAGCTCAGACCAAGCCAAAACTCTTTTCTATGCATATGGAATAGATAGAAATGGATTCGTTGTGTCGTGTGAAAAAAAAAATGAGTTTCTTCAGTGCGGTGCTACGGCGGTGTATCTATGCAAACACAAACACGAACTGCAAATGAACCGGCGACCTGAGGGTGGGAAAGACTAGTATTTGCGTATGCATACGTGGAGCGTGGGCGGAGAGACATCGATGTGCTCTCAGACAAACCGCCGCGTTTGCATACAAGTCTGGCTCTAAATCGTCTGGCTGAAAGCATACATACAACTACACGGTAGGCACGGCTTAATGTCACTTACACGATGTAGTCACGCACCGCGAGATGAAAAGCAATATGTACCAGAAACCGGCACTGAGCTGCTGACGCTTCTTCCATTGAACAGAGGTGAGAGGTATCAAAACAGAGGTGTCAACACAATCATGTCATGGTTGGAATACTTCTGTAGCGAGCAAACGCGTGTCGGCCTTACTGCTGTAGACTACAACTGAACCTGGGAAGACGGGTTTCATGTTGTCCATCAGAAGGATGGTAATATCTACTGGTACCGAGCGTGTGAAAAATGTGGCATGAAGTCTACAGCAGGAGTCAATGTATACAGCAGTAGAAAGTCCATGCTTCGTTTGAGTCAAAAGTCAGCTGTTCTCCGTGGGGGAGGGAGAGAGAGGGAGAGAGAGAGGGCGAGAGACAGACAGAGACAGAGACAGAGACAGAGCAAACAAGAGAAGAGAAGAACTCACGTCAAGTTCATTTTCTCGCAACGTGGCATGCAACAGCGAGACTACAATTGCAAACGCAGACTCGTGTAATATACATCATGCACACCGACCCTGCGGTGATGGTACAGCGACCGCCGCCGTGTGTTGCATACTACGAGCAAAATGGGGATTTGAATTTCAAATCTCAGCTCACCTCTCTCCCTCTCAGCGCTAGAGCACGGGCGACTGCCAAGCCAACCACGCCAGCGCCAACCACGAGGCAATCGACCCTTTCAATGGGCAGTCTCGCCATGCTGGCAGGCACTTCTGTGCCTGTGCTCTGCGATGCCCGCTGTGCCCTGTGGCAGGTAGCACGTGACGTAGCAGTAGGTGCGGCTGGAAGGCAGAGCTCCGCGCCGTACTAGCGGTGGCATGTTCGAAGGTACCTGGATCATATGGAATCCTGTCCATCGTGCCCCTGTCTTGCCCCAAGTCCGTTGCTGTGCAACGCATCTCAGCAACTCAGCAGCGGAAGAGTAAGGTGAGAAAGCATCGCACACCTTCCCGTGGTGAGTCACTGGCTGCATGGTTCATCTTTGGCCTGTCTTCGCAGTCGAACGCACAGCAGGGAATCGCCAACATCAACAACAACAACAAACCCAACTCGACACGACTGCGTTTCAAACCGCCGCAACAACCTCCTCCTCTCCTCCCCTCTCTCTTCTGCCGCTGCCGCTGCCAGCAGCAGCAGCAGGAGCAGCATATTTCCTTCCACCACCACCACCACCACCGTCACTGCTGCTGCTGTGCGTTGCCGTCCCTCTCGAAACCTCGCGCACCGCGTGCGGCGGCGGGGGGCGTGTCTGCCTTCCACGTCGTCCTTTGGGGCGGCGGGCGAAAATCTCCTACCACGAGTTCGCACCGAGATCTGCGCTCCGGTTCCGGCGGCGGCGGCGGGGTAGGAAGAAGAAGCCACTCCTCCTCCTCCTCCTCGGCCGACGGCACTGCTGCTTCTACGGGTCTTGACGACTCCTACTCCTCACCGCCTTCACAGCTGCCTGCCAAGCGCAAGCGCGTGTCCTCGCCCAGCCCGGAACAGCAGCAGCAGCAGGTGGCGGTGCCGGATAGCTGCGAGCTCGCAGCGGCAGCGGAGGCAGGAAGGGTCGGCGAGGACTTGGTTGTTGGGGGACTCCCTCCCGCCCGCATGCCAAGGGCGGACCTGTTGGCGGAGCCCTCTGCTGCTGCTGCAGCAGGTTCGCCGTTAACGAGGGGAAAGGCCACGGCAACGACGACAACGGGGGCTTCCCCTAGCCCCAGCCGCCTCAGCGGCGGCGCCAGCAGCAGCAGACGGCGAGCGGGGGGATCGATAGGCCGAGCAGGAAGCAACAGGCTGTTACATGGCATGGCCCCAGAGGCCGGGATCGGCGGCGGAAGTAGCAGCACCGATAACTCTCCCAGGAGGCCGTCTGCCGGGAGGGGCGTGGGCGGGGCCGGGGGCGGCGGCAGCACCGCCGTAGGCGCAGCCGGCAGGGGGGGGAAGGGGAAGGGGAAGGCCAGGCCAAGATCGGTCGTCGTCGCAAGTAGCACCTCTGCGAGCGCTACGGCCAACGGCGGCGTCGCCACTGCTGCAGCAGCTGGTACCTCGGGGAACAGCGGTGGTGGTGGTAGCAGCAGGAGCCATGCCGGCGGCGGAGGGGGGATTGGTAGGACGGACGGGGGGGGTATGGGAGAGGGAGAGGAGGGGAGAGATGGGAACGCAGGAGCAGCGGCGACTGAGGATCCGAAGGCTGCCCGCATAGGTATGTTTCGGCGCCTGGAAAGATCGTTGTATGCTTCTCCGGGGGTGATGGTCGTACATGTGCACATGACCACGAGTTCGTGCAGCATCGTGTAGATATTTGGTTTGGTCCACCATGCTCGAAGCAGGCGCTTCTTTTCTTTTGTCTACCCCCCCTTTCCCCTGGTGTTTGCCATCGGGGTTGGGTTTTCGTCGCTTGGCAACGACGTTGTCAAACAAGCCAATTCACTTCGTGAACTCGGCAACCAGGTTACCGTTCTTTTTTTTTTCCTCCGTTTATTTTTTTTGGGCGGTAACCATAATGATGGTTGAGTAGATCATGTTGTGCGGGGAGAACCCTCACTCCGCGCAAGGGGGATGATAGCACCACGTTGTGTTGAAATGGCCAAGCACCCTCGAGGCAGTTACACGGTGCTTACAACTGTCTCTCGAAGTGAAAGCACCAGAAAGTAAATAAATTCATACGCAGCTGTCATCCGCACGCAAGGAAGTAAGCACAAGATGCCGAACACCCTTA